TCATTGTTAACTATCTACTCACTTTTAGAACACTAACATGGGCTACCCTTACAGAGTTCACCTAGACCTCAGTACTGACTTCACAGCATATCCCTAGTACTTTTAGTATACTCCTGCTTTGAACTCAGACTCCCAATCTAGATAGCCCGGAAGGACTGTGACCTGTCCTTGGTATATTGAGGCTGGCTCAATATCCTTTTCCTCCAGTCCAAAATCCAGCGGCCTGGTTGGTGATACCCCTCACCTGAGGTTCTTGCCCACCCGAATCCTTCACATTAGTATCTATTTCCTAGGTCTTGCCTTTACAGTAGTACCATCAAAGATCTGTATTACCTCTTTGCTCAGAATTTCCAAGTGGGCTCCAGCTTCTTAGTTCTACAAATTTACATAGCCCAAGGACTTATTTTAGGTTTGCACCGCCTGGTACTGGTTTGAATTCCTCTGTGTAACAGATTACACAGATGCTCTAAACCTGCCAGTTATGCTGGTATAACCATAGTTATAGGTATCCTATTCCAACTGATCAACAGAATGCCGTCATTATAATATCGTCTATATATTACATAGATGATTATTCAAATTTCACCATCGGTGGGTTTTGAACTCACAACCTATTACTTGGAGATATGACAACTTATCTACTTTACTAAGTCACCATACCCTTTTATGAGATTATTAATTTGATTTCATTTATTTGAAGACAAATATAAATCATTTAATAATGAATGATGCATAGCTATGATATTTAGATATTCTTTAAGGGTTTGAACTCATTAAAGTATAATAAAAGTTGAATTCTAGCATGTTTTAATATTAAGAATTAGATGAAGAAAAGTTTTCTTATCTACTAAATAATATTGTTCTAAATTTTCTAAATATGAATATGGGTTTATATTACTTTTACTAATTAGCACACTTTTTTAATTAAAATATCTACTTTTTTTAATCTATTATTAATAAAAAGATTTATAATATGACATATATAATAATAGTAAAAAAATCTATTAAGATTGTTATTAGGATTAAGTTGTTGCTTTATTTTGTTGCATGCTAAAACCATATTTGAACTGTTACTAGTTGTAATTGTAACAATTTTTAAGCTTAAATTAAATTCTTCTAAAACTTTTAATATATAATTACTAATTGCTATGCTCATATAAGATTCTTGAAATTTTGTAATATCTAAAGTAAAGTGATATAATTTCCAATTATTATTAACAAAATGAATAATAAGTGTAATAAAGCATTTTATTTTTAGATTAGTCCAAAGATCTGTTATATCTGAAACTTTTTTTGAAATATTATTAATTATTAAATTAATATTAAATTATTGTGTTGTAAACATTTCAAGTATCTTGTTATGTATTACTTAACATTTTGGAATTACAAATAAGAGATCAAGTTTATTTTAAAAAATTACAAAATGAAATATTATCCACAACAGAAAAAGGTTGCATTGGTTTAATAATCTATTTGATTAAAAGCATTGACTGTTCTAATTATTTTTTTTCAGAATGTATTTGAACAGAACTTTTTTGAGTTAATAGATTATGTTTAACAAGGTAATTTCATATAATTGATGTACTAGTTTTTGATGAAAATATAAATTTATATATTAAACAATAATGATATTTAGGATCATTTTTATTTATATAATATCAGACATCAGAAGTATAATGATCTGAGCTTTTAGTATTAGGTTTTTTAATTTCAAATATTTGCACATCAGTATTAATATTTGAATTAAAAGTTTTTTCTAATTCAACTTTTTCAATTTTAGCTATATAGTTTTCTAAGCCATTATCATTTTCAAATTTCTTAAAATTTTCAAAATTTTTATTTATAGTATTAAAAAATAATAGAAACATATTTACTTATATATAGTTAATTGCACCTATTTATAACCAGTGTTGTACATTTTTTACTGTCCAAGGCTTTTTTGACCATGTCCAACATCCAAATATCCAAGTGTCCAAGAGTGTCCAAAGCATATTTAAGCTCTAATAATAAATAAATTTGTCTAAAAAATATATGATTATATATTTTTTTAGGTTCTGAATATTTTTTGCTTA